TGTGTGTGTGTGTGTGTGTGTGTGTGTGTGTGTGTGGCCAGCTCAGCACACCAGGGGGCGGCCCTGGCTGGCATGTGGTGCTGGGGGATTGAACCGCGGTCCCTGTGCTTTGCTAAGCTCGTTTTAAGTAGGTGCTTTAGACCACTGAGCCATCTCACCAGCCCCTGGAACCTGGTTTTTTAATTGCCACCAAAGCATACTTGCTGAAGTAGGAGAATAAAACATTTTATTTCACAGTTATTAGCTTGATTTATAACTTTAAATATTCAGTTGTGTGGTAAGAGATCCATCAGCACTCCTGCCTGGACCTGGCTCCACAGGGCCAACAGCATGTGACACATAGAACACAATAAATATTGACTGGGAGAGACACAGGGACAGGCAGCACGATGCCTGGCCTCATGTGGATGCTCAACGCATACATGCTACTATTGTTCCCTGAGCCATGAATAGGGAGGTGGGGATACAAGAGCCACAGCCCGAGGGGCTTTGTACATGAGAAGGAATGGTTTGGGGCTTCTGACCCAGGCACGTCCCTCCTTTCCTGATACGGGTACCCCAGGTGTCTCCCAGCACTGCAGCAACATGGGCCCCAGTAGGCAGCTTGGGAGCTGGGACCAAAGAGAGTGCTACTCCTTCCAGAAAAGCGGCAGGCTGGGAAGGCTGGAGAGGTTGGGTCCCTGGTAAGGGAAGGGCCTCGAAGGCTAGTTTTCATCTTGTATCAGAGCCCCACAGAGCCCCTCTGTGGTGAGGCAGGGCACATGGGCATGAAAAACCCTTGCTCAGGACACAGCGGACCTGACCCCAACATGGACAGGCAGACAGGAAGGTGGACAAAGCCAGCTCTCTGGCTGGGACAGGGAGGCTTAGACTAGAAGTCACATGGTCCTGTCGGGAGCCAGCAGTCCCCACTTGGTCACCTACACAGGGCTCCAGCCAGATACTGCCTGAAGGAGCAAGGAAACCCCTCACCAAGTCCCTCTCCCTGAACAGAAGCTCCCCATCCTGGCACCCAACCATGTGCGTGGCCAAGACAAGACCAGAAAGCCCTACTTCAGGTTATGGTCCCTGCAGTTCCAGGGGCAGGAGCAGTTGGTCAGCACGGCGGGAAGATGTCTGCACACTGCTGCAGGATGAGCTCGACCACCTGGTTCTGGAACACCATGGTCATGGGCATGCTGGTCCCCTCTGTCTCTGGCCGCAGCAGGGTAGGCCCAAATACAATGGCCATGCTCTGCACTGACATGCGGTTCTGCTCCCCGTGATCCACCACCCTGTTGGGGAGGACTGTTAGGCCTGGGGCAGGGCCGTGGGGACCCCACCCCAGATGCAGGGTGGCTGTGCTCACCGGCGCAGGTGCTGGAACAAAAGCCGCAGGGTGTCATGGTTCGGAGTGGGTAGAGATCGCACCAGGTCCCGCACACAGCGGCTCCGCCTGGCTGGGTCCTGCAGCTCTGCAGGGAGATGGGGGTTGGCACAGCACAAGGGCCCCAGCCCCCCACCCGGGCTCTGGGCCCTGGCTCACTGATGGCTGCAAGGAACTGGTAGAAATGCAAGAAAGGGAACAGCGGCTCAGGCAGCTCACGCAGGAAGAGCTTGAGTGCACCGGTGACCACGTGGACGTCATCCCACCTGCCATCATCAAGGTCCAGGTGCTCATCTGCAGGAGGGGGAAGGTCAGACAGGCGTGGGGTCAGAAGGGACAGAGGGGACAAGTGGGTGGGGATCAGAAGCGGGGGAGGGGGCACAGGGTGAGGGCCTCACCGTGGTCCACGTGGTAGCGCAGCTTCTGGATGGTGGCTAGGTTCCCGCTGATGCGGTACAGCCCATCGGTGTCCAGCCCTGTGGAGGCCGAGGCACTGACCCACCTGCCCCAGACCTGGGCCCTGCGCCCCACATCCCAGTCCTGGTACTGAGGGAGCCACACATACCCCGGGCCTCCACAGCGCGCACACACTGCTGCACAAAGCGTGGCACTGAGCTCTTCTCACGCGTGCACAAAGTGGCCAGCGAACAGCCAAAGACTTGATCTAGGGACAGGGAGTCAGTGCTGGGCAAGAACCTTCCTCCCCTCTGCCTCCTCCAGGACCCCTCTCCCCTCCCTGGAGCCCCCCCCCCCCCGTGGTACCCTTGATGTAGCCCCGCTCCCGTAGCGACTGCAATGTTGGCCGCCTCTGCAGGAACCTGCGCAGCTTCTGCCGCACACGGCTCAGGTCACTCTCCAGGGTCCCAGGGCTTGGGGAGGGAGTGGCTGTGGGGGCACACAGGTGTCAGTAGGCTGTCAGGTCCCAGCCCGCGTGTCCCCCACATCCCACCTTGCCCTGTGTACCTGCAGTGTCCTCCCTCTCTCGGAGCTTGAAGTCTGTGCTGCTTGCCTCACTGTCCTCCTCCAGGGCTGGATCTATGGGCTGGAACTGTGGTCTGAGCAGGGCTGCACCCAGTAGGCCTTGGCAGGCCTCTGCTGAGCCCCTCAGATAGGGCCCCTACCCAGCTCTCCATCAGGATGTCCCCTCCTTAGGCACTGTGTGTGCTCCTCACCCTCCCATCTGGCCCCCCTACCCCTCCCAGTCTCTCCTCTGCATCTTCTGCAGCACCTGCACACACTCCTCTAGATCTGCCTCCAACTGTCAAGTTGTTTTTCCAGTAGGAGCCAGCACACCTCCAGCAGCTGCACTACTAGCACCACCTGCATCTGGACTCCTGCTTCTATCAATACAGCCCAAAGCTGAACCCAAAGTTGGCTCAGAGCTGGAGGTCATGGCCAGGCTAGTGGCCATGACAGGGGCCTGCCCACCTCTACTTATGTCATCGGTGTTTCTGAACCTACAACGGTAGACTTGAATTCAGTCTTTTCTTGTTTCAGCCTGTTGGTCTGGCCTGTGGCTGGCTCTGAGTATGTCTACTGTTCTTCCTGTCTCTCTTGAATCAGAAATGCCCCTGTGCCTGCTCCCTCCTGCAGAGCCCTCCCAAGAGGCCACCCCAGGTGCCAGGGCTCGCTGTGCCAAGCCAGGAGGCTGGGGCTCTGCCTACCCTCTCCTGGATGCCCTGCGTGATGGCCTTGTGCCAGGCGCTGATGATGTCCTCTGAGTCGTGCTGAATCAGGTACTCAGAGCCATCTCGGCTCCGCAGCTGGAGGGACACAAGTCACTGGGTCACCACGGGACTAGCATAGAGTGGGGCTCAGAAGTGGAGAAGACAGTCTCTTCCCCCTTAGGGCAGAGCCTGGTGAGCAAAGGCCTGGCCTCAGCAGGGTTCCAGAACAGCTTAGAGGGGTCTGTAGGCTGCAAGATGGGGATTGTGAGCTGCCCCAGCTCTTCCAGCCTGTGTCTCCACCATGCCCCACACTGTAGCTGTCCATCACTCAGCGTCTGTGAGCCAGAACTCAGAGCAAACCTGGCACGGTGCACAGCTTACCAACTTGGACAGCAGCCCAGCCTGTGCCTGTTACCTGAAGGGGCTAAAAGCCTTCTAAGACAACAGCCATCATTTCTGGCAGTTCTCTCGGAATGTACCCAGCTCACATCTGCCGGTGTGCCATGACAAGGCACATATCATAAGTGGGTGCCTGTGATCTGTGGCTCTGCAAGACCTCCTGGATCCTATGAAGCTACCCAGCCTTGTGATAGAGGCTTTTGGGCTCTTTCTGCAGGAAAGCCCTAGAGTCACCTATAGGTTGCCTGGAGCAGACGGAGGGACAGCTGCCACTGGCAGGGAGGCAGGCTTGAGTTTCCACCAGGACCACCCTTTCCAACCCATACAGTTTCCAAGGGTACTGCTGCCCTGCCGAAGAAGACAACTGGCCAGGTGTGGAGGCTGAGGCAGGGGGACTCCCACAAGTTCAAGATCAGCCTAAACTACATAGCAAAACACTGTCTCAGAAAACCGCTCACCCCCCAAAAGAAGACAACTAGGCCAGGCCTTTGGAGAAGTTTCAGCAGCAGCCAGTGAGAAGTGAAGTGACAGACAACACTTTGAAGGATGCCCCAGTCTGGGAAGGACCATGGCTCACAAAGGTGAGGTCGCAGCCCAGCCTGACACCATAGCAGACATGAGTTCTTGATGGAAACTGTCCTGCCAAGCTTCCAGAATGATCCAGATGATGGATCAGATGCTCAAGACATCCTGCCCTTGGAACTAGACAAAGCTCAGCAGATCACCAAGGACACCCCACTAGGGCTTTTTAAAAGAACTGGTTTTTCTGGGCTGAAATTCCAGGCCAGACTCTGCTCTCTTAGTAATAAGCTACCTGGACAGCACATCACACCCAACAGGGCAGTCTGAAACTGGGCACTAGCCTCATCCTCTAGACGCTGTGTTCTCTGAGCTAGGAATTTCTTCAGGAACAAAGGGCAAGGAAGGCACTGCGGCTCCCTGAAGAACTGGGTGGGGTCCCCTGCCCTAGTAATTAGCTGTGCCACTGGCAGCCCTTCATCTCAGTTACTGGAGAAATGAGCTAAGTTTGTCAGCAGCCACGTTAGCACCTGATCATCACTGGCCCCTGTCCCTTGCCATCTCTAATGTGCTTTGCCTGGCCCTGGGACTTTAGGAGATTTCACCACTTTGCCACCTAGAAGTATTTATTTATATATTTTTGAGATAGGATCTTGATGTAAAGTTCAGGCTGACTGTGAACTCACTATGTAGACAAGGCTGGCCTCAGACTCAGAGTGATCCTCCCTTCTCAGCCTCCATAGTGCTGGGATTCCAGGCATTTGCCATTGCACCAGATACCATGTGTCTCTGTTGAAATCTGCTGCACAACTTTCAGGGACCAAGGTGAGGACAGAGCAGTTTGAAAAGGAGACCACAGAAAAGGGGACGGAGAGGGCGTGGCACTGTGAGGCACTCCCTTGGGTCTTCCTTTTTTTTTTTTTTTGAGACAGTCTCACTAAGCAGTTCAGGCTGGTCTCAAACTTGTAATGCTCTTCCTGCCTTAGTCTCCTGAAAGCTGGGATTACAAGCATGTGCTACCAAGCCCTGCTTAAATAGTACATTTCAAAGCTTTTTTTTTTTTTTTTTTTTGATACTTGGGATCAAACTCAGGTCCTTGTGTTTGCCAGGCAGGTGCTTAAGCTGCTGAGCTATCTCCCTGGCTTTGGGTCTTCCTGTTCTTCATGCTGGGGATCCCCAAAAGCTTGTTTCTGTACTGGTTTCTTTACTGGGGGCCCAGTGTAGTCAGAGGCTAGCTCTGGCCAGGGAGAGCAGATGGCAGAAACACTGCCCTGGGATGGGGAGCTCTGGCCTGGCGCCCCACTCTCCCAGATCCTTTTCCTGGCACTGACTACAGAGAAGGCTTCTTCTCCCTGCCCATCACTCACCTCTAGCACATTCTTCTTGCTGGATTTGTCCTTGGGGGCCCAAGAAAGAGAGGCTCCCTTCAGCTCCACCGTGTATTCTGGTGTGGACAGCTTGGAAGGCTGCTGCCTCTGGCAGAAGGGAGAGGGTTGTGCAGCAGTGTTAGGGGGTCCTGAGCTCACAAGGGCCTGCCCAGCCCCTGCTTCTGACCCACTGGCTTTTTGGTTTTAGGGAATGAATGGGGAATCCAGTGGATCTAGGCAACAGCTTTGGGTTCCTGGACCCTAGATGTCCTGGTACTTCTTAGTCAGAAACCTACTGGCTGGCTTGTCCCCTGCTGCCCACCCTGGGAGCAGGGTGCCAAGCTGGGTCTCCTCCTTCTACCCACAAGGACTGCTTCCCCCAGGTGGCTGGAACTGCCTGTCATCACTCTCTCTCTGCTATGCCCAGCTGCTTTGCTGTGAGGGTACCGCTCTCAGCCCAGGTCAGGCCAGGCTAGATGGTGCAGTCCCTGCCAGAGCCCCGGCCTCACCAGGCCGCCTGCAGCCGAGGTCTTGGAGTCCTTGAAGAAGGTCAGGACGCTGCCCTCCAACACTGACCAGGAGGTGCTCCAGTGCTTCTTCCTAGGGGTGGGCAGAGCTCAGACTTGCTTTCAGCAGAGGATGTGCTGTGATTCCCTAAGGTAAGGGCATCCTTCCCAGCAGACAAGGGGCCTGAGGCAAGGCACTATCTATCTCTCAGTGCCCCTAAGACCTCATGAGAGTCCCCCGAGGACAGGGCCACCCTGCCCTCCTGGGCCAGCTCTCACCGGAGCCGCTTCCCCTTGTCTGCTGTCCGGGTGCAGTGCAGCACTCCTGCCTTGTCCAGGGTCTTGATCTAGAGAAAAGGGCAAATAGGGCTTGGGGATGAGCCATGGCAGAGGCTAGCCTCCCCTTGTCTCCTCCTCTCTGGCTACTTGGCACTATGGAGGGGCCTGCTCCTACCCCTAGACCCCTACATGGGCCAAGTGCTGGCCCAAGGAAAGGCAGGAGGGCCCACCTTGTCTCTGCCCCAGTCCTCAAGTGGTGCCCATTAGGGCCTATATGCCCCTTCCCTTACCTTTTCTTCTGAGGGGCTGGCTGGGGCTGGAGTGCCACCATCCTGGCTGGTTTTGCGGATGCTTCGAGGGGCAGGGATGGGGACCTGGGGAGAAGGACAGTGTCACAGCCGGTTCCTTCCAGGACATAGGCTTTCCCTCCCATGCTGGTTACCTGGGGCAGCTCCCACCGCACGGAGGAGTCCTGTGGCCTGTAGAAGTAGGTTTTGCCGTGCTGGTCCTCCAGTTGCACCCACTGTGGGGACAGGGGATTTAAGGGTCTCTGCCCTGCACTTGAGAAGGGAAGGTCCCACCAGCAGGGGGTGGGCAGCCTCTCCCCAAAGGCGGCACGGCTCCAGCCTTAGTCCTACCTGCTCTCCCGTGAAGTGGTTGGTATAGAGCGTCTGCTGTTCCGGGCCCAGGTGACAGGACCAGCCAGGAGGCGGGGACAACGGGGAAGTGGGGCTTGGCTCTCCAAGGCAGCCTGCAGGGGGATAGTCCTCCTCCGGGTAACTGGACAGTGACTCAGGGTAGTCGGCCTCCGGGGTGGGGGGCTGAAGGGAGCACAGGTTCTCAGAGCCAGCACTGCCGCCGACCCGAGCCTCGGTACCAGGTGGGCCCTCAGAGGAGGCGGCAGGGTCACCCGCTGCACCCTCACTGCCCTGGTCCTTGACCCTCACCTTGGAACAGAGCCCTGGCGCCAGTCCCACCTTCCCCCTCCACTCAGCCCTAGACTTCAACCCTGCCCACGGTCCCGGCCCTCTGCCCTGGGGCCGCGCCCTCGCACTCCCCGGACGCCCCGCCCGTACGTCAGCTCCACCCATTTGCCCCTCGCCCCGGGCCCCGCCCCGCCCCCTCCACCCAGCCGCGGACTTCATCCCCGCCCACCGGTCCGGGTCCCCTCACCCGCCGACGCGTGGGGCTCCCCGGGTCCTGTCCAGGTTGCATGTCCGGCGCGTCCCCGGCTCCTTCTTCGTCTCGGTCGCAGGGCGCGTCCTCCCAGGCCGTCTCACCGGTCAGGGGGTTGTAGAAGAACACCCTGCGGCTCTCCTCATCCCAGTACTGGTCCCACTCGCTCTCCAGGCTCTCGCGGCTGCCCACCGAGGCGGGGGAGGCTGCCGGGCTGTCCTCGCCGGGTGGCTCCCACGTGGTGGCGCCGGTGTCGCGGTTGTAGTAGTAGTGGCGCCCGCTGTCCGTGTCAGTGTGCTCCTCCCACGCCTCGCACGCGGGATCGGGCCGGGGGGCGGCGGGTGCGCGTGGCAACGGGGTCGAAGTCCGCCCCACGTTCGCGTAGACGGGCTCTGCGGGCGCTTCCACCTGCGGATAGCGACAAGGATGGGTGTATGTCGCCGCCGCCCTGGCCTACCTGTCCCGGCCTCCTGGGGTCAGCGCCTGCTCCGCCCCCGCCGGGAATGCGGTGGGGGAGGGCAGAGGAGGAAACGTTCCTCGAAGGGGCCCGGGAGCGCGGAGCGCGCCGTGAGTGGGAGGTCCCGCTGATTATCCATTAACTACGCGAGCAGCAACAGCGCGAGGGTGGGCAGGACTGATGGCGGGGCGGCCCTGGGTGCCCACTCCGGTCCCTGCTGCACCCCTCTAACTCCCAGCGCTCATCCCAGGGAGCCCTAGGGTCTGAACCCTTCTGGATGGGACTGGCACTTTCCATTGTGGGATTCGCAGGTGTCAACATCGACAGCTGCGCGAATGGAGATGGGAGGAAGGAGAATCCCCTTGCGCCCAGAAGAAGAGGGTGGCAGGGGTGCCCTGTCACCTCATATGCACGCCCCCCAACAAGGTCTGCTCCTTGCTGGATGCGAGGCAGAGTCCAGTCCATTGTCTTGTTCCTCACTTCCGGCCACTTCCTGAGTCCTGCCCCTCATGGTGAACTTTACACTCTGGTGGATCTGAGTTGCTGGAGGTCCCCACCCTCCGCCGGGCTTCTCCCTGGGGAGGGCGTGGGCCCGACCCATTCCCCTCACTTGCCCTTCGCATCTGTCTGGCTCCTCTTTCCCAGGACTCAGCTCAGGTGCCCCATGCCCACTCCCAAGAAACCTACTGCCTTCCATAGATAACGAGCGATTAAAGGCCAGTGCAACACATAATGCTAAATACTAAAGCCCATTTTAGAATGGAAGAGCAGCTGCAGTCCAATTCTGTGTGCTTGGAAATCATCCAAGGTGCTACAGAGGTAGGCATTGTGATACAGGGGTTCTGTCCGGTTTTGTCTTTTGTGGTGCTGGAACTGGGGTCCCACGCATGCCAGGCAAGGACTCCTTCACTGCTGCAGCCCCAGCCATGGGGTTGATTTTGTCCTTTAAACTTTTGTAGCCTCTAAATTTTGTACAATAAAACTAAAAAGTTTCACAAGGTTTTTTTTTTTTTTTTTTTTTTTTTGACTATGACACCTTAGAGAGGGGAAACATCCTGCTCAAGGTGGTCTCTGCCCAGAACCCTGATGGACACCTCAATTCATTCATCCAACAAGGGCTGGCTGCTCTGCTCCATGCCAGGCACTTGGCCTGGCAGAGTGGACAGATTCCCACTCTGCCATGCCAACCCTCCAGCACATACCTGTGGAAATGGGGATGAGAGTGGAGTGTGCATCACTGCCAGGCAGGAAGCCAGGCACTTTCAGGGAAGGAGAGGCTGTGGATTTAGACGGGTGGGGTCCTCAGGCACTGCAGAGTCCATCTGTTCTGACCTGTCCCCTTCAGCACCGGGACCCGCTGCCCACTTCTTCCTCCCTGCCTCTCAGGGCCTCACATGGCACTGTGTACCCCCAGAACACCTGGCTGTACCCCAGCCTCCAACAGAGGCACCTCCTAGCTCCCCCAGCTGTCCCCTTATTCCTTGGCTACCTAAGTCCTGCTGCACTCTGACCTCCTCAGCTCACAGGTTTCTCCCAGGGAAGTCTCACCTGCCTACACCAAGCTCAAGACCATTAGGGCCCTGTGCCATTCTGCCTTGGCAGTTAGTTAGTGGCCAGACATTGCCCACTTCCTCACCTCAAAGGCAGAAGGCTTGAGAGTAAGATGGAGCAAGTGCAGATCTGCCCAAAACACTGCTTTAAAGCACAAGTCAGTCCTGGGTCCTAGGAGCAGCATGAACACATACCCCTGCCACTCTGGAGAGCTCTGAAGGAGAACTTCTGAGAACAAGGATTTCAGCCCCAGAACACAGGAGACCCCTGGGAGGACAGATGGAGGCTGGAGAGAGGAGGGTGAAAAGCTGTCCATGCCTTGGGTCCAGTTGCCTGTCCTGTCCAGGGGACTGCAGGTGGAGGACTTTGTTTGGCAGCCTGCCAACAGGTAGAAGTGGTCTTGGTGGGAGAAGCTTAGGTCGCCACTGTGACAGAGCTGTCACAGGGAGGACAGGGGTGCAGCACACACGGGGTGGGGGCGACAGAGCCTCTGAGACAGAGCCTAGGCCGGGCTGGAGCAGGGAGGAGCAAGGGCCTCTCTGGAGCCCAGAGGCAGGGTGAGTGCCTTTACCACAGAGAGGCTTCGGCAGAGGTGCCCTGTCCCGGAGGCCCAGGCCTAGCAAGCCTATCAACCAGGTACTGACAGCCCCAGTCCAAGCCTGGGACACAGAATAGACTCTAAAGAGGAAGTGGCTCCCTCAGACCTTAGGACTGACAGGGTGAGGAGGCGTATATTGCTCTGGGCCCACAGTTCCTAACAGCTATGCTCCCCTGGTCCCTAGCCCCAGGCCCAAGCTTTGGCCCTCAGCATCCCCGTCCCTCACTTGGACAGAAAGGCCTCTGAGGAGGAAAGAGGCAGAAGAGAAGAGCCCCACTTGCCAGCTCCTCCCAGGGTGGGACCCACAGGCCTCTGGACCCAAACCTCCCACCCTACCTGAACCCGCAGCGCCCGGCTCTGCCTCCTGGTCAGTTTGGCAATCACGTCCACCATCCTGTCCCCTCCGAGCTGCAAGGCTGGGCCCTGGGAAAATTCTAGGGGTGGAGCCAAGGGATACAACCCCAGGGCTGGCACAGGGCACCAGGGAAACAAGAAGTTGCCTGAGATGGCGGAGGTTGAGACTGCAGCATTTCCTGTCAGGGCTGCGGAAGTGCTGTGGAGACAGCCTGAGCCGTGGTGGTGGCTGCCACTTTTGCGCGTCCCCACCCCCAACTGCCATACAGTCCACTGGGACCAGATACACATGCGGCGGCACCTCAAGCCAGGGCAGGACTGGCAGAAGGGTCTGGGCCTGGTTGGCCGGGACACAAACAGGACCAGGAGGGGCCCAGAAGGATGGAAGGAGAGAGGAAGCTTGTGGGAAGGCACGTTCCCAAAGAAGAAGGGGTCCAGGCAAATCTGCCAGCCTTGTGGACAGGAGGGCTCTTGCTGTACCACTGTCTGGTCACCCACGGCCAGTCTGTGTCCTGCAGACCTGGTTTCCAGGAACCCAACACACTCCATCCACAGCCACAGCCACATCCCACCCCTCCATAATATCAGCCGAGGGGCAGGAGCCAGTTCCTCTAGGCCCTGGTGATCTCGACATTGGCCCCTCCCATGGTGCGCTCTCCTCAGCCCAAGGCCACCTGGTTCCTTCTCCTTCCTGGCTCCTCCCTCCACGGCCTCCACTGTGCCTCTTTGGGCTCAGGCTAAGAACACAAGTAGAGCCAGGAATGGGGTAAATTTGGAGTGTAGGGCACTTGGGGAGTGCAGTGTGCTACACCTCTGCTATTGTCTGCCTGGCTCAGTCCCCCATCTTCCCCCTGGGCACTCAGACCCGGGGCAGGCCCCATGTGCAGCCCTGGAGGGAAGCAACCCCTCCCCCAGCCAGGGAGCTGGCAACCACAGCGGGGCCCCCACCTGTGGTCGGCTGCTGTCCCCTCCAGTAGAAGGTCACCGCTCTGAGGACACGGGAGGGGCACTGAGTGCACAGCAGCCAGCAGGATGTAAAGGGTCTGAGGCTGAAGTTGGGAGAAGGGAACAGAAGGAGCAGAAACAGGAGAGGGCCCTGGGGAAACCCTGCTTTGGCCTCCCTCTGGCCATGCTGGTGTTTCTGGACTTACTCCTGCAGCTGTGTGGCTGGAGTCCTAGGGTCCCTGCCAGCTGCTGAGTTCCCACACCCACAAACATGAGAAAGCAGGGCACACTTCTGCTTTTGCTGACTTCAGGTTTGGATGGGGCTAGGCCCTGCCCTGGGTGACCCCAAGAGTTCCTGTGGGGCCTGCTCCTGGGGTTGGCAAGTCTGGGCTGTGGCCTGCTGCTCACACTGCCTGTGCTGTGTGGGAGCTGGCCGGGACTGGCAGGGCCCACTTTGAAGGCCTTCTGGGCCAGCGGGTGGTCACCTTCTGTCTCCCACAGTACCTGCATCTGTATCTACCGTTCTCCCCAGGGCAGGACCCATGGTCCTCTGCCACGCCCATCTTCCCACCGCCCAGAGAGCTCTTCCCATCCGCTGTCCCAGGCATTGCCCAGGACTTGAGGTCTGTCCCTCTGGTGTCCTGCCCTCACCTTCCAGTGCCCTCTCCTGGCTTCCTCCTGTCCCCTCTCTGTGGGTAGGCCTATTTTTCCCCTTCCTCAGCCACCTGGACTGGCTCTATGCTCTGTCTCCCTCGCCCCAATTCCCTGGTGTCCAGGAGTGGGCAGCTGGCTGAGTCAGCAGCCCAGTTCCACATCCAGGCCCCTGGGTGTCCTGTGCCCACCTGGAGGCTGAGGCCCAGCAGTTGCTTCCAACCCTCGTGCAGAGGCCTACAGACTTCCCTGAGTCACTGGGCCCAGTGACTGGTTCATGAATAGTGCAGAGCTGCAGAACACAGCCCAGCAGAGGAAGGAGGGGCTCTGTTCAGGAGCAGCAGCAGGACAGCTGAGAGCGGCTAGAGGTTCCAAGCCTAACGTGTTGTTGTCTGGAACTTACAATTCCTCAGCTCAATAAATAAACAAATGTGGCCAATCTTGTTGCATCTAGGTAATGAGCATAGTGGTGCTCATTCTTAAAGATAATCTTTTACTTTCTATACGCTTTGAAAATTTTCATAATAAAATATTTTTTTTTAAAAAGAGGAGTTCCGCCTCCCCCGTGGGGGCGAAAAAAATAAAATAAAATAAAAGAGGAGTTCCAAGCAGGCACAGGGGCCAGAGGTTCAATCCCCAGCCTGCTGTGCCCCCTCCGACATGCTGAGTCAGCAACTGAAACTGTGCATGGTGGTGTGCGCCTGTAATCCCAGCTCGTGGAAGGCTGTAAACAGGCAGATCACTATGAGCTCGATCTAGTAGTGAGGCCCTGAACACCCTGTAGACCCTTCCCTAAAATATATATATACATATGTAAAAGAGGGGGCCCTGGAGGTGTAGCTCAATGGAGAG